CATCCCTGCTCTCTGATCCCTCCAGTGGGATTGTGGAGACCCAGGCTGGGATGTACCTGGGGTGGGAACCTTTCCCTCGAGGCATGTTGGAAATGGTTGCACTGTCCCTGCAGCTCCCACATTCTTCTCTACCTTTGTGAGCTTTGTGCTGCCCAAGCTGGTGGCCATTCCTGACTGTTCCCAGCTTATCCCCTCTCCACAGGCTCTGGCTCTGATTGAGCTCTACAATGCTCCCGAGGGCCGCTACAAGCAGGACGTTTACCTGCTGCCAAAGAAGATGGGTGAGTGAAGGAACTGACTTTTCCCTTGGGAATCCATGTGCCAGCAGTGTCAGAAGAGCTCAAACCCGGGCTGGGAAACACTTCCAGAGGGACAGCAAGTTCAGGGAAGCCACCAGAGGCAGTGACCTTAAAATCCATGGGGGTTATTTGCTTTATCTTTGTTAGTGTTCTGCAGCGTGGGAGGCATCCCACATCCTGCAGCCTCCCTTCTCTGGGAATTTCCATGCCCTCCTTGTGCCTTTAGAGGCACGTCCAGCCCAGGCTTGGGCTCAGCCCTGCTCTGGGTGATGGTGAATCCGGGGTGCTGCCCAGCCAGACCTTCCATGCTGTGGTGGGTGTGGAGCCCCTGATGTTCCCTGTTGCCATTCCCAGATGAGTATGTGGCCAGTTTGCACCTGCCATCGTTTGACGCCCACCTGACGGAGCTGACGGACGATCAGGCCAAATACCTGGGACTCAACAAAAACGGGCCTTTCAAACCCAACTACTACAGGTGAGAGCTGCTGGGCAGGAGCTCCCAGCTCCCCACTGGTTTGGAGTTCTGCCTCCAGCTCTGGGGTCTCCAGCAGCAGAAGGATGTGGAGCTGCTGGATCCCTGGAAGTGTCCAAGGCCAGGCTGGGCAGGGCTTGGAGCAACCTGGGACAGTGGAAGGTGTCCCTGCCCGTGGAATGAGATGAGCTTTAAAGTCCCTGCCAGCCCAAACCAGTCTGGAATGCCATGCCTGGGGGATCCCCTTGCCCTGGCACAGCAGCACCTCCCATGTCCCTCACTGTCCCTTCCTTCTCTCCTAGATACTGACGGGACCATTTCCATGAAGGACCAGACCACACAAGGCAACATTTGAGAGATTATTTTTTAAAATAATTTTTATTTTGGTTTACCTTTTTTTTTTTTTTTTTTTCCTCTTCACCACCACCAGAACCTGTTTTTACATTTTATCTGTGATTTTTAAGGTCAGGTTTTCTTTTCTCCCCCTTTTCCATGATCGCATCCCTGTCTGATCTTGCCAGACAACCTGGGATTTGCTTCTTGCTTTCATGTGGCTGAAGCTGCTGATTCCCAGCCCTGGCTCCAGGAGGGGCTTTCCCTTTCCTGCTGGGCCAAGGGCACTTCATTCCTGCAGCAATGGTTTATTTTGGCTTTTATTTTGTATTTTTTCCCACCTTTCCAGCCCACGTCGGTCTCAGCCGGGCTCCCTGTGGATCCGGAGATGCTCTTCTACCTTACCTTCTATTTCTTTGTGTGGATTATCTGCAACTTCTAAATTGCCTTAAAGAGCCCAGTTTTAGCTGCTAGATCCCTGCTCCGGGTGCTTCCTGGGAGCAGAGTGGCCTGCAGGACACCTGGCAAAGGGGGTGACTGTGCCCAAGCCCAGCCCAGGTCCCTGCGCTGAGGTGGCCCAGGTTTGGTGGCACTGGCCTGGGTTTGCTGGCCACCTGGGTCCAGGGGAGTTCAGTGTTTCAGGGTGCTAATCTGAATCTGGATGGGGGTCGCTTTCCCAGCATTATCCTCATCTCTCCTAGGTTTTTTGTTTGTTTTGTTTTTGTTTTTTTTTAGCCAAACTGCACCTTAATTGAGTTTTAAACATTTTTTCCGTTTGTTTATTTGTTTTTTTTCTTCCTCCTTTCCTTTTTGATCCTTACAGAGATGTTTTAGAGGGTGGGGATTGTTATTAGATGTTTTAAAAAGGAAGCATTGGGGACGTGGCTGCCTTCCCATCTCCCACTGGGAAGTGCTGGGTGGTGTTGAGGGTGTCTGGGGTGGGTTTTGGGGGTGTTTCACTATTTTTTTTGAGCTGGATGCAGAGATGAGCCTTCCCCATACCCCAGCCCGGCCCCTCTGCTCCCTGTCACTGTTTTCCTCACCCTCTCCTGGTGTGTCCTGGCTGCTCCCATCACCTCCTCTGTGCCCTCCCTGCTGACATTTCCCTTGCCCAGCTTGTGCTGGGGTGTGGGCAGCTCCTTCCAGCCCACTGAGGTGTCTCTGGCTCCTGTTCCTTTCCCGACCCAAGGGAGGGAAGGAGCTGCTGGCACCTCCTGGGTGGTTGAGCTGCTCCTTCCCCCTTAGCAGGGATCCACCTGGACGGGTCCTTCCCAGGGAATTTGCAGGTTTTGGGGGGTGCCGAGCTCCTTGGGGAGCCAGGGGATGGGAGAGGTGCTGAGATCATCCCCCTCCATGTCCTCTGACTGTTCCTCTCTCCCACCCTGCCTGGTCTCCTCCTGGATAGATTTTGGGGATCACCTGCCTCGCTCCCCCACGGATCCCAGGGATCACCTGGGTCCCTTCCACCATCCCCCAGACCTCCCTGGGGACAGCTTAGCACGCTGGGATGGGCGTTTGTGGGAAGGATCGGGAGCATCCCCCCTTCCCTGTGAGCCCCCCACGCCCGGGGGTCCCCGTTCCCACCCGTCCCGGGTGGAATCTCGGCCAAGGGCTCTGTGTCTGTATAAGCCATGCTGGGGGAGCCCGGGGGTGATGGCGGCGGCAGCGGCGGGCCGGGAGCGAGAGGTTTATTTTGTATAGGAATGATTTTTAATGAATGCAATATTAATCCTTGCAGATGAGCAATAAATCATTAAAGTCTAATTAAACTATTAGGAAAAATGAAGTGCTTTTGGTTGTGGGTGGTTTGTTTGGTGCCTTGGGGGGGACCTTGAGTTGTTTCTGAGCCCAAGGGCAGGGCTGGAATCTCGCTTTGGCCATCTCGGGGTGAGGATTGGGTCCTGCCAGAATTTTCTGAGTTGCCACAGCTCTGGAGTTTTGCCTTCTTGCCCTCTTTAAAGCCCAACGGGACACCTTAGCTTGTGGTTTAAACGCTGTCCGGTTCCTTTGTCGGGTCCGACTCCCCTCTGAGCCTATCAGGTCACCCCGTGTTGGGGTCTGAGCCCCCCAGCCCCGTCCCTGGGGCATTCCTTTGTTCCAGGCCCCTCAGTTTGGGATCTGCCTGTTCCTGCCACTCCCAACATGGCGGCCTCCAGCGCCCGGGCTCGCCCTGGGGCGAGGCGGAAGTGCCACACCCAGTATGGCCGCGCCCGGGGCCGCGCCGCACCCAAGATGGCCGCGCGGGGGCGGAGCCCGCCGCCCGGCAGTGTGTCGCGCCGTCCCTGGCCGCCGGGGGCGGGCAGCGCCGGCCGTGACGCGGCCGCCACGGCTGAACGGCGGGGCCGGCCGGCGGAGCTGCATCGTACCCACCGGAGACACCGGCGCTCCCCCGGGTGCCACTCCCAACATGGCGGCGGCGCTGCCCCGGCTCTCCCTGCCGCTCCCGCGAGAGGAGGGGGTGAGTCCTCGCGAGAGGTCGGCGCGGCGGAGCGGCCGACATGGAGCCGAGCGGCGGCCCCGGGCCGGGCCCTGTCCCGGTCCCGGGGAACAACAAGGGCCGCGGTGGGGCGGCCGCGCCCGGGAGGGGCCGCGACCTGGCCCGGCCGCCGCGCAAGGACTCCGAGGTCAGCGCCGCCGCCGCCGGGAGTGGGGCGGCCTTCCCGGGCGGGGCGGGCCGCGCCGGGCCTCGTCCAGGGCCTGCCCGTGGGTGCCGGTGCCCGGGGGCGGTGCTGGTGTCCGGTGGGTGCCGGTGCCCGGTGGTGCCGGTGCTCGTGGATCCCTCTGGGTGCTGGTGCCCGTAGTGCCGGTGCCCGGGAGTGCCAGTGTCCGGCTCTGCCAGCCCTGCTTGGGCACCGCCTTCCCCGGGAGCAGCCCAGGACCGGCTCGGCCGCTGGCTCCGGTGCTCCAGTGCTGGTCCCAGGGCTGGTCCTGGACCGGCCGCTCCCTCGGTACCGGTTCCCTGGCGCAGTGGCCCCGGGCTGTGGAGCCGAGAGGCTCTCCCTGCCCGGCCTGCTCGGCCCTGGGGCTGCCCGGAGCCTGCCCGGTCTCGGTCGGTGCCGATTTCCCCTTCATCCATCCATCCATCCCTTCCCCAGGTCCGGGCCGCCGTGACCGGGCTGGGCCGCGAGGGTGGCTCGGTCGGCCGGTCCCAAACGGGAGTGACAGGGCCGGCCCGGGGGTCTCGCAGCCCATCCGGGGGTTTTCTCGCTGTTGCCGGTCGGTGCCAGCCCGGGTGGGGTGTCGGGTCCCGCTGCCGTGCTCGGAGCAGGGTGGTTCCAGCGAGAGGTGACCAACCCCCCCGGGGACACCCGCGGTGCTGGGCTCACCCTGAGCCGTGGGGCCGGAGGGTTGTGTGGAGCTGAGGTATCCCGGGGCTTTTCCAAAGCGTTTCATTCCTGGGGTGGCCCCAGAGCCGTTCTCTCCCACGGCTTCCTCAGAAAGGTCCCTGGAATGCCAGGGGAGGGATGTGAGGGGGAATCTCGAGAATCTGAGGTGGTTGGAGCTACCCCTCTCTCAGACTCCTGGAATTTGGGATTATTCTGATGTGGGCCTGCCTCTCGGTCAGGAGTGGGAGCCTCCAAATTTAGGATAGTTCTGCTTGTGGATTCATTCAGGGGTGTGTGCCCCAGAATTTGTGTGGCTTTGGTTCTGAGTGTGCCCCTTCTTCAGGAATATGTGCCCCAAAATTTGGGCTGGCTCTGCTCCTCACTCAGGGGTGAATGTCCTGAGTGGGTTCTGGTCTGAGTCTGCCCTGTGCTCAGAAGTATGTGTCCCAAAATTCTGCTCAGGATCTGCCCCTCACTCAGGAGCGGGAGCCCCATAATTCAGGAGCATTCTGCTCAGGGTCTGCTCCTCACTCAGGAGTGAGTGCCCCAAAATTTGGGATGGTTCTTGTATGGGTCTGCCCCTCACTCAGGGGTGGGTGAGGATTCTGATCTGGATCCTCCCCGTGCTCAGGAGCGGGAGCCTCATAATTCAGGAGAGTTCTGGTGTGGATTTGCCCTGTGCTCAGGATCCCGAAATTTGTGAGAGTCTTGCTGTGCACCTGCCCCACTCAAGCTGGGTGCCCAGAAATGCTGTGGGTCGATATTCTTGACTTCTGTAAAGGGAGCTGATATTTTGTGCTCTAAAGATTCTCCTGGATGTTTTTGAAGCTTCTCCAAAGCTGTTTGTAGTTGTTTCATCCTCACTAATCCCATCTGCTGGGACAGCACGGGGATAGCCCAAATTTTCCCAATGTTGTGTGAAATGGGTGAGCTCTGAGAGCTCCCTGATCTCAGAGAACCCTCTCCCTGTGTCCTGCCGTGTTTGTTGTGCTTTGGGGGCTCCCCCCGTGCTCTGGGGGTGCTGCAGTGGCTCCATGCGGCACTGGAGACGCAGGAGGTGGGCTGGAGTTGCCTCGGTAACGTTTGTGCTGCTGCAGGAATGTTTTTGGTCCCTAAATCAGGAAGACCAGCCCTGGATTTGCAGGAGGATGAGGTGAATTGTGAGTGTTTTCAGGGGTTTTGGTTTTCTTGAAATATGCTGTAATGGAACTGATTTTTCCCCGGTGTTTTCAGGGCTATTCGGAGTCGCCAGACCTGGAGTTTGAATATGCAGACACGGATAAATGGACAGCAGAGCTGTCAGGTAAGGAATTCTTCTGTGATGGATCAATTAATCAACCATCATTTCCTCTCCTGGTACAATTAAAGGAACTCTGTCAATTCCAGTATCGCTTTATTATTATATTTAAATGTTGTATTGTTGTTAAAAGGGGCAAGATATGTGTAGTTCATATTTTTGGCCTTGCACTGGGTGGGGTTTTATTACATTTTGATATTTTGCTAAAACTGCAGTTCCCAGGGCTGCGTTGCAGGCTTTTGGAGCTTCTCCTCTTTTGGCAGAGCTGTACAGCTACACAGAGGGACCAGAGTTCCTGCTCAACCGAAAATGCTTCGAGGAGGACTTCAGGATCCACAGTGAGAGCTGGATCTTTTTCTGGATTCCTCTTCCCGGGGGAGGGACAGGGATTTCTCTTCCTGGAGAAGAGGAGCCTGATGTCAGAGCTCACTGGGGTCTGCAGCTTCTTCTGAGGGGCAGCTTCAATCTCTGCTGCCTGTGACAGAGACAGGAGTCAAGGGAATGGCTGGGGCTGTGTCAGGGCAGGTTTAGGTTGGATATCAGGAAAGGTTCTTCCCCCAGAGCGTGCTGGGCACTGCCCAGGCTCCCCAGGGAATGGGCACGGCCCCGAGGCTGCCAGAGCTCCTGGAGCATTTGGACAGTTCTTTCAGTGACCCGGTGAGATTTTGGGGTGTCCTGTGCAGCACCAGGGGTTGACCTCTCTGATCCTCGTGGTCCCGCGCAGCTCGGGCCGTTCCGTGATGCCACGACTGCTGCAATCCCCTGCTGCACAGCAGGAGCCATCCCTCAGTCCTTCCCCCAGCGTTCCCTGGCTCTGCTGTGCCCAGCCGAGCCCGTCCCCAGAGCCCTGCTGTGGTTTGCAGTGCGGGACAAGAAGTGGCCGGAGCTGGAGCGGACGCAGCACCGCACGCACGCCATGCGCCTGCTGGACGGGCTGGAGGTCACGGCGCGCGAGAGGCGGCTGCGCGTGGCACGCGCCATCCTCTACGTGGCACAAGGTGACACCGGCCTGCCCCTCGGCTCCCCCTGCTAGCCACGGGAAATGGCTTCTGTTGTCATGTATATATTGTATGTATTGTACAAGAGGGTTGTGCAGTTAGATAGGCAGCTGTGTGTGTTGTATTGCGTGTGTTAACTGTTTTATGTATAGTGTATATTTAAATATTTAGTATAGAACTCCTTTATGTTCATAAAGTTTATATATATACACATATAAGATATACATAAGCTCTAGATATAGATATAAGATATATAGATATATCTGTATATATGTAAGATATATATAAGATATTTATATATTTTCTGTAGAGATATCTATAGATATAAGATCTAGATCTAGATATATATCTTATCTAGATACAAGATCTAGATAAGATACATATAATATAGATAAAAGATATATATATCTTGTATATATCTTTATATATATTTTATATATCTTTATGTGTTTTATATATATAAGATATATATAAAAGATACTTATATATATTATATATATTTTATACATTATGTATAGTATATATACTATATAATATACAGTAGGTGTTGATACATTATATATAGTATATATACTATATAATATACAGTAGGTGATACAGTTTTGTATTGTATATACTATAATGTACATTGTATTATAATATGTGTTATAATACAATGTACATTATAGTATATATGATACAATATGTATTGTAGATTACAATGCAATCTACAATATGTATTGTAGATTATATTGTACTATGTGTTACATATATAATGCGTATTATAATTATATATGTATACTATATATATGAGACATAGTGCAATATAATCTCATATGTATAGTATATACATACAAATATTTAATTATTATATGTATACTACATGTAATACATAATGCATTATAATCTACAATACATATTATGTATAATATATATTATATATTATATATTTTACATGATATGTTTTACATATAATGCATTGTGTATTTAATATGCTTATACTTTATATATTAAATGCTGTATGTATTTAATATATATTATGTATCATATATAGTTTATGTTATTCATATTATATATTACACATTATACACAATGTGTTATATATATTGTCTGTAATATATCAATATATAATATAATTAATATGTAGTATTAATATGATATGATAATTACTAATTATTCACTGTGTAATATTTTGAAGAATCTTCATTCCTTGTGGATTCCATTCCACCTGGGATGTCTGGAACCAAGCTGAGTCTCATGGGAGCAGATAGTTTTGAGCAGTTTGGCCCAAAATTTGGCTGCTTTCCCCGTGTTGTCCCAGTTCTGCAGCCTGGACTGTGTTACCCAGGGAGGGCAGCTCCGTGCTGTGCACCCCAGTTTCCCCAGTCTGGAGGGTGGGCAGTGGTGCTGGGGCAGGGTCTGTGGGGCTGGCATCAGCAGGGGCTCCTCGCAGGCACCTTCGGGGAGTGCAGCTCCGAGGCCGAGGTCCAGGCTTGGATGAGGTACAACATCTTCCTCCTGCTGGAGGTGGGAACGTTCAACGCCTTGGTGGAGCTGCTGAACATGGAGATTGAGTGAGTACTGTGGGAAAACACTTCAGGAGTGGCTCTGGAATTCACCAGAGTGACTCCTGTTGTCCTGGGTGGATGTGTAATGTAGGATTATTCCTGATTTCTCCTGAAATTCCCCATGAATCAAAGTGCCTGGCAGCAAACAGGCAGCTCCGCTCCTCCTCACATGGCTGGGAACGGGGAGTTCATGGCAGCAGTGTCTGTCTCAGGGTTTGGAGCTGGCACGTGGAGTGCCCATGACAGAGTTTGAATTCCCCCAATTTCTCTCTGAGCTGTTTTCCCTCCACAGCAACAGTGCAGCCTGTTCCAGTGCCGTGAGGAAACCGGCCATTTCCCTGGCTGACAGCACCGACCTCAGGTATGGAGTGGGAATGGGGGACCAGGAGGGGGTCCAGGGTTCTCTGGGAGCTTTGGGAGGCTGAGGCAGGCACTGGAAGGGGTCCCAGAGTTGTCCCAGCTCTGAGAGCTCCTGCAGGTGCCTGTTGTGCTCAGCCTGCACAGCAGGAATGGGACAGGTTGGGGATATGAAAGCAGTAACATTTGGGAAAGCAGATTTTTTTTTTCTTGTTTGGACTTGTAGAGACTTTTCTCCCCAGTGCCTGTGTACTGGTGTGGAGCAGGTACCTGAATTGTGGATGTGGTGTGGGTTGCTCCAGCTTCTCCCTGAGCCCTGGGTGCTGGCAATGCTTCCATAATTTATCCCTGGCAGGGATTCAGCTGCCTTGGTTTTTGCAGGGTGCTGCTGAACATCATGTACCTGATTGTGGAGACTGTGCGTCAGGAGGCCGAGGGGGACAAGCCTGAGTGGAAGAGCATGAGGCAAACCTTCAGAGCAGAGCTGGGTGAGGACCAGGAGCAGGGATAGAGCTGCCAGGGCTGGAGACAGTGACATGGGGTTTGGCTCTAGGAGTTGGGTAATAGTGACTGGCAGCACTGGGTTGGTTTCTGCAGAACTTCTGGGGCAGAGGGAGGTGAGCAGAGGAAGCCATCCAGCCTTTTGTGCTGCTGGGTGTCCTCTCCCTGGGAAAAAAAACAGAATATTTGAGCTGTTGTTTCCTCTTAAGCATAGAGGTAAGAAATTACAGAGTTTATCAGGCCTTGGAAGGGGAGAGGGAGCTGTCTGGGGTGAGGTGAGAATCTTGGAGCTAATGGGGAGGAGGGTGCAGGAGCTGGTCATAGTGGTGATCATGGTAATGCCAGGGGTGAGGAATTCCTGGCTAATGGTGCTGTGTGGTTCCAGGAGCCCCCCTGTACAACAACGAGCCCTTCTCTGTCATGCTTTTTGGGATGGTGACCAAATTCTGCAGTGGCCATGCTCCACACTTCCCCATGAAGAAGGTGCTACTTCTGCTCTGGAAGACTGTGCTGGTAAGGAGAGGCCATGGGATGTGGGATTTGTGGTTTGATACTTGGCAGAGGAGGGAATTCTGCTCTCAGAGTTGGCTGTAATTGCTCCATCCTCTTTTTCTGGTGTTCAGTTTTCCTTTAAACCCAATCCCAGGTTTTCCTCCACAGGGAAGCATTGGATATTGGTGTCTGGAGCTGGATACTAAGGATAGACCCAAAGCAAGGTCCCTGGCTGGGGAAGGGAAGGTTCTGAACAGTTGTGGATGCCTGGACATCCTTCTGCCTCTCTCAATGGCAAGAGGAGCACAGGACAGGCAGCTCCTGTTTCAAACTGGGGGAGGATCTGGGCTCCTCGGGACAAGAGAGACTTTGAGGGGCTGGAGTGTGTCCAGGGAGGGGAATGTCACTGGGGAGGGGTCTGGAGCAGCTGAGGGAGTTGCAGGGGGCTCAGCCTGGAGAAAAGGAGGCTCAGGGGGGATCTTTTGGCTCTGCACAACTCCTGACAGGAGGGGACAGCCAGGTGGGGGTCAGGCTCTGATCCCAGGGAACAGGGACAGGGCAGAGAAAATGACATCAAAATGTGGCAGGGGAGGTTTAGGTTGGATATTGGGAAGTTTTTTTCATGGAAGGAGTGGTCAGGCATTGGCACAGGCTGCCCAGGACAATGTTGGAGTCAGCATCCCTAGGTGGATTTAAAGGACACAGATGTGGCACCTGGTATCATGGATTACTGGTGGCCTTGGCAGTGCAGCAGGAGCAGTTGGACTCTGATCTCAGAGGGCTTTTCCAACCTGAACAATTCTGTGACCCTGCAAAGTGGGTTTGGGAGGGGCAGGTGCAGCTGTCCCTGGAGCCCCCCTGTGCCATGCTCAGCATGCTGTGGTGTCCCTTGCAGTGCACCCTGGGAGGGTTTGAGGAGCTGCAGAGCATGAAGGCAGAGAAGAGGGAGATGCTGGGCCTGCCCCCCCTGCCCGAGGACAGCATCCAGGTGATCCGCAACATGCGGGCGGCCTCCCCGCCCGCCTCCGCCTCCGACCTCATCGAGCAGCAGCAGAAGCGCGGCCGGAGGGAGCACAAGGTGGGGACAGGGACATTAAGGAGGGCGCTGCCAGGCTCTGGGCTTGTTTTTGGGACATTCCCTTCCCGCTCTCCCCGCTCCAGGCCCTCATTAAGCAGGATAACCTCGATGCCTTCAACGAGAGGGATCCGTACAAAGCTGACGACTCCCGCGAGGAGGAAGAAGAAAATGATGATGACAACAGCCTGGAGGGAGAGACCTTCCCCCTGGAACGGGATGAAGTGATGCCCCCCCCTACCCAGCACCCCCCCAGCGACCGCATCACCTGCCCCAAAGGGCTGCCCTGGGCCCCCAAGGTCCGGTGAGTCCGGGATCTCCCTGTTGGGAGAACTGGAGCAGGGTCAGGGAAACGGAGGCTCTTGGATGTTGGGAATCTCAGCAGGGAAGTAGGGAAGGTGTTTGGGATGGGGTGATCACTTTGATGGCTGTTTTCTTGCGAGGTTGGCTGGACATCCTTTACCAGACCACAAGGCTTTTCCCTGTTGCCTGGGCTGTGCCTTTCCCTGTGCCTGGCTGGACATCTTCCAGATGCTCCAGCTGGTGTGACTGTTTCCTTCTCCCTTTGCTGCAGGGAGAAGGACATTGAGATGTTCCTGGAATCCAGCCGCAGCAAATTCATCGGCTACACGCTGGGCAGGTGGGTGCAGAGCCAGCCAGTGCTGCTGTTATGGGGGACCTGTGGGGGAGGCCAGTTTGGGGGCTGCTTTTGTCTCTGCGTGGCAGCAGGGAAGGCTTTGGCTGGCTGGTCCATGGCTTCATCCCTGGGTGGTCTCTGCCCCACCCCTGGGTGCTCAGCCCTGCTCCCAGCCTGGCTCTTTCCCTCCTCTAGTGACACCAACACCGTGGTGGGCTTGCCCAGGCCCATCCATGAGAGCATCCGCACCCTGAAGCAGGTGAGTTAAGGAATTCCTCTAGGCCCTGCTGCTGTATGGGTGCCCCTTGCCCATCTCCCTGTTCCCATCACAGCTCAGGGTGCATTTTCCTAACCTTTTCCCCTTCCTCCACCTAGTGATGGGAGAGCAGCCTTAATCTTTCATCTCATCCTGGACTCACAGGTTGTCTGAGCCCCTTCCTTAAGGAGCTCCATCCCTTCCTCAGAGGGTTCCATCCCTTCCTCAGGGGGTTCCATCCCTTTCTTAGGGGGTTCCATCCCTTTCTTAGTGGGTTCCATCCCTCTCTTCATGTCTTCGTCCCTTTCCCACTGGCCTTGTTGCAGACCTGAGCCCAGCAGCTCCCACCCTGCACAGGTCACCCGTTGGACAGGGATCTGGGAGGGATGGAACAGGGTGGTGGGAGCAGGCTGGGGCTGGGGCAGCACTGGGGAACCATGGTGACTCCACCCTGTCCCCCTGCAGCACAAGTACACATCCATTGCTGAGGTGCAGGTGCACATGGAAGAGGAGTTCCTGCGCTCCCCGCTCTCCGGAGTGAGTGTGGGGATGGGATGGGATGGGATGGGATGGGATGGGATGGGATGGGATGGGATGGGATGGGATGGGATGGGATGGGATGGAGATCCTGGGCTGGGAGTTGGGGGCACTTGGTCCTGCCACGTTTTTTTTGGCACAGCTGAGGGGTTTGTTTTGCTGGGGCAGAGGGGGTTGGGGCAGGATTTGGGTTTACTCCATGGGCTCATACTCCATGGTGCTGGTGGCAGCTCCTGGGATGAGGTTTTCTGGTCTCTCCTGGCACCAGGGGGAAGAGGAAGTGGAGCAAGTCCCTGCAGAGATCCTGTACCAGGGCCTGCTGCCCAGCTTGCCCCAGTACATGGTGAGCTGGGGAGCACTGGGATCCCCTGGATCAGTCCCTTCCCAAGTTTTTACCCCCTGGCCCTGCCCTGTTCCTCCCTCCTGCAGTGGGGAAAGGGCCTGGTGCCAGTCCCCTGCAGCTCCCATTCCCCCTCCATCTCTCCCTTCTTCCCAGATTGCTCTGCTGAAGATCCTCCTGGCTGCAGCCCCCACCTCCAAAGCCAAGACAGACTCCATCAACATCCTGGCAGATGTCCTGCCCGAGGAGATGCCGTGAGTGCCTGTGGAGCAGAGGAGCTGGCTGGGAGTGGGAAGGGAAGGAGGGATGGGAGGGAGCTGGGGGAGTGACCTGGTGTGGGCGGGGGCTCCTTGGGGGACATGACACCTTCCACTAGAGCAGGTTGGGCTTGGACACTTCCAGAGATGGGGCAGCCACAGCTTCCCTGGACAGCCTGTGTCACCCTGAGAGGGAAGAATTCCTCCTGATCGTGTCCCTCTGTGTCCCCCAGGACCACTGTGCTGCAGAGCATGAAGCTGGGTGTGGATGTCAATCGGCACAAGGAGATCATCGTCAAGGCCATCTCTGCTGTGCTGCTGCTCCTGCTCAAACACTTCAAGCTCAACCACATCTACCAGGTGAGGTGGGCTGGGGTCCAGCTGTGCCCACAGGTCTCTGGGCATGGCAGGACCCTGAGTGGGTCCCTGTTCACCCACGTTTCTCCTCCCCAGTTTGAGTACATGGCCCAGCACCTGGTCTTTGCCAACTGCATCCCGCTCATCCTCAAGTTCTTCAACCAGAACATCATGTCCTACATCACTGCCAAGAACAGGTGAGGAGGAGGCTGCCCACCTGCATTCCTGGGGGATGTTGGGAGGGGTCCCTGTTTCTCTGGCCTCTTTGCAGTCCCTCCCTGGCAGTGGCTCAGGCAGAGCTGCAAAGTTCCCACACTGCTCATCTGCAGTGTGTGGGAAGTGGGGGCTGCATTGCCCCCCAGGCCAGGGGGAATCTGGGGCAACAGCACAAGCACCCCTCTCCTTCCTGCAGCATCTCCGTGCTGGACTACCCCTACTGTGTTGTGCATGAGCTGCCAGAGCTGACGGCAGAGAGCCTGGTGAGTCCTCCTGCTGTGACAGTCCTGGTGCCTGGGGTGCTGCCCAGGGAATTTGGGATGCAGAGACACAGCAGGGCTCCAGCACCCAGCCCCTGCACCCTCAGCTCTCCTGTGCTCAGCTCCTGGGATTCTGGGGATGGGGATGGGGGTGGGAATGGCAGGTGTCTGCTGGGATGGAGTGTGTCCAGGGAAGGGAATGGAGCTGGGGAAGGGGCTGGAGCACCAGGAGTGGCTGAGGGAGCTGGGGGGATTCAGCCTGGAGAACAGGAGGCTCAGGGGGGAATCTATTGGCTCACCACAACTGCCTGACAAGAGGATGGAGCTGGGGTTTCAGGTTCTTGTCCCAGGGAACAGGACAAGCAAAAATGGCCTCAAGCTGTGCCAGGGGAAGTTCAGGTTGGATACTGGAGAAAAATTCTTTGTGAAAAGGATGGTCAGGCACTGGTACAAGCTGGCCAGGGCAGTGTTGGAGTCACCATCTCTGGAAGTGTTCAGAAAACGTGTGGGTGTGCATGTGACACTTGGGGACAGGGATTACTGGTGGCCTTGACAGTGCTGGGGGAAGAGTTGGACTTGATGATCTCAGAGGGCTTTCCCAATCTTAATTCCATGATTGGAGGATTCCATGCCCACATGCTGTGCTGTCCCCTTTGGACGTGGCTCCTCAGATCACCCCAGCCTCTCCCCATCCCCTCTCCAATCCCTTGCCTGACCCTGCATCTCCTTCCCTACAGGAGGCTGGAGACAACAACCAGTTCTGCTGGCGGAACCTCTTCTCCTGCATAAACCTCCTGCGCATCCTGAACAAGCTGACCAAGTGGAAGCATTCCCGCACCATGGTGAGGGCTGGGAACGTTCTGGAACTCAGCATTGGCCAGGCACCTGCACTGGGGATAACCTGGGACAACCCAGGGCTTGAGCAGGGGAATGGAGGAGGGGTTGGCCCAGGAATCCATCCCAGCTGGATCTGGGAATGTTCTGGCAGATGCTGGTGGTGTTCAAGTCGGCGCCGATCCTGAAGCGGGCTCTGAAGGTGAAGCAGGCCATGATGCAGCTCTACGTGCTGAAGCTGCTCAAGGTGCAGACCAAGTACCTGGGCAGGCAGTGGAGGAAGAGCAACATGAAAACCATGTCAGCCATTTACCAGAAAGTGCGGCACCGCCTCAACGACGACTGGGCCTACGGCAACGGTACATCCTGGCACCCCTGGCATTCCCAGCCCTCCTGCTCCAGGGGCTGTGGCACCCCTGGCATCCCCAGCCCTCCTGCTCCAGGGGCTGTGGCACCCCTGGCATCCCCAGCCCTCCTGCTCCAGGGGCTGTGCCCCCAGCTTGCCCTTTGATGCCTGGGGCTTGGGCAGCTGTGCTGGGTTGACCTTAGTGGACCTTGGCTGGGTGAGCTTGAGCAGGTGCCCACTGAGCTGCTCTATCCTTTCCCATCTGGATAGGGCAGAGAAAATCAGCTGGGGAATTACTAGTAGGTTGAAATAAGGTAATTTAGTACAGCAAGAGCAGAAAAAAAACCAGGTTTGTTCTATATTTCCCATCAGCAAGTGATCAGCCACTTTGGAGAAGCCAGGCTCAGCTGTGCTGGGTTGACCTTAGTGGACCTTGGCTGGGTGAGCTTGAGCAGGTGCCCACTGAGCTGCTCTATCCTTTCCCATCTGGATAGGACAGAGAAAATCAGCTGGGGAATGACTAGTAGGTTGAAATAAGGTAATTTAGTACAGCAAGAGCAGAAAAAAAAATGGGTTTGTTCTCTACTTCCCATCAGCAAGTGTTGTTCAGCCACTTTGGAGAAGCCAGGCAGCAGCACGTGGAGCTGCTGCTCTGGGAGGCACATTTTAAATAACAAATGCCCCATCATTTCTCCTCCTTTCCTTAGCTTTTATATCTGATCTGACATCACAGAATCTGGAATATTCCCTTGGCTAATTTGGGCCAGCTAGCCTGTGTCCCCTCCCAGGATCTTGCCCACTTGTGTGTGCTTGATGGAGTGGGAATTTTGGGAGACAGTGCTGGTGCTGTGGCAGCTCTGCCCAGCAGAGCCAAAATACTGGTGAGCTCCCAAAACCTTGCCAGCTCCCACTGCAAAGCCCAGCAGTGGCAGGACTCCTGTGGGAAAACAAACTCCAGCTGAGCCAGACACAGTCCAGCATGTCTGGGTGTGGGAGGGATTTTGGGTGGTGACATTGCAGGGATCAGGGCTCTGCCAGGTCTGGGCTGAAAACGCTTTTTGGCCTAAATTGGGCTGGAACAGCAGGTTTGGTGCCTCCCTGAGGGGGTCCAGGTGCCCCAATGGGGTGTCCCCCTCCCACCATCAGGACATGGGAGCTGGGACAGGGTGGCATTGCAGTTTCAGGGGTTTTGTTTTGGCCCAGGAACATTCTTTGGGGTGCACCAGTGCTGGTGCTGAGGCAAGTGGGGCCAAAAGGAGCCCCCATTCCTGGCTTCATTTTGATTGTTTCCCTGTGGTGGGAATGCTGGAAGTGGTGGTGGAGCTGCTGGTGATTCCTGGCTCTGCACTTTGAAGTACCTACAAAGACTTTTCCTAAGTGGCAGGGGGCTGGGGGTCTATGGATTGCTGGGAGGAGGCAGAACCAAAGGATATTCCAGACCCTGGGACATCGTGCTCAGGATATAAAGTGGAGGGAAAAGGAGAAATTGGGGAGTGTTGGGAGTGATGGTGTTTGTCATCCAAGTCACCATTCCCTGGGATGGGAGCCTGTTCTCCTGAAGGTGCTGAACACCTGCCTGTTTGTGGGAAGTGGGGAATTAATTCCTTGTTTTTCTTTCCTTGTGCTGCACAGCTTTTGCCTTCTTTATTAGCAGCCTTTATCCTAACCCACCAGTTTTCCAGCCTTTACCCTCCTGATTCTTCCCTGCTCTGGCTGGTGGGGGAATGAGCGAGCAACCGCATGGGGCTCAGTCTGGCCGAGGTTGCACCACCACACCGAGGGCTTTGGGCTGGCTGAGGAGTCCCCAGCTCCGCTCTGACCACCCTCATCCCTGTTCCCAGACCTGGATGCCCGTCCCTGGGATTTCCAGGCAGAGGAGTGTGCCCTGCGTGCCAGCATCGAGCGCTTCAACTCGCGGCGCTACGACCGTGCCCACGGCAACCCCGACTTCGTGCCCGTGGACAACTGCCTGCAGAGCGTGCTGGGCCAGCGTGTGGAGCTGCCCGAGGATTTCCAGGTCAACTACGACCTCTGGCTGGAGAGGGAGGTCTTCTCCAGGCCCATCTCCTGGGAGGAGCTGCTGCAGTGATGGACACAGGGAGGCAGGATGGGTTGCTTGGAGAGCTCGAGGCTGACCTGCTGTCAGGGCAGGGCAGTGAGGTTTGGGGGGGTCTCTGGGTGGCTGTGCTGTTGTGGTGGGCTTGGGAAGAGGATGGAGCTGGGGGGATCCTCGCTGACACCACATCCTGCCCCTCTGCCTCCTTCCAGGCTCATCCCAAAGCTGGGGGTGCCCTGGGGGTTTCCTGTTTGGGGGGGATCAATGCCCACCCCAATGTGATGCTTTCAGAGGCACCGCCCTTCTCGTGCCCCCCAGCCAGGAAGGGGGAGCAGGTGGCAGTGTGGGAGTGGGGTCCTTGGGTGGGACGCCAGGCTGGCCCTGCCCAGCCCCTCTGGGGGGTTAGGGGGCCTGTGGGGGCTTGAGGGGCTGGGGTGGCCTCCCCTCACCCCACGAGGGGTGCAGGAGCTGTACATATATTATATATATTTGGTGATACCTCTGCCCTGAGCGTGGCTGGGCTCTGTCCATGTCCCTGTCCCTCCTGCCTGGAGTTGGGCTGGGATGAGAGTTCCTCATCCCATGTCCTTGTCCCCACTCATCCCTCAGACCTGGGGTGGTACATGGCCCCTCCCCAGCAGGTTTAATCTTACCTTGCACCCAGGTCTGTTGGTTGGGGGGGGCTGGTGGCCTCGGGGGGAGCAGATTCTCCCAGGCATTTGCCTGTCCCATTCACTGAACCCTCCCCCAGCTCTGTCCTGGGATTTCTGACACCACTGTGCTGTTACCACTGGGATTTTCTTTGGTCCTTGCTTCCAGCAGAGGATCCTGACACCAAATCCTGCCAGAGCTCAGCTTTGCACATTGCCTGGCCTCAGTTTCCCTGGCAGAGGGGCAGCAGCAACCCTGGGGGATGAAATCCTGGGGATTTCACCCTGATTTGAGGCAGGGATTTGCAGGGATGGTTGGGGGCAGAGGGAGACTGGTACAGGACCAATTCCACCCCATTCTGAGATTCTGAGCCTGTGGAGCTCCAGGAGTGAATCCAGCTGTGGGGATGCTCAGCCCCAGCCCTGGAAGCTGCAAACTCAGCCTTGTGAGCCATCAGAGTTCTGTGGGCACAGCATGGATGGTGACATGCCCTTAATCCATGCCTGGAGCTGTCCCCATCCTGGCCTCTTCCCCCTCAGCCTGGGGTGACACTGAGCTGGAGCCCTGGATCCATCTGGATGCCCAGTGCTGCACCTGATCCTGTGGGCAGCACAGAGCCAGGTGTGGATGTGTCTTCAGGAGAGGCACAGAGAAGGAAATGCTGCCCTGGCTTGCTTTAATGATGAGTAAAACTTCCAGGAATCCCTGCTCACCCTGCTCCTCAGCCTTGGACCTGCTCAGGACACTGCAAAGCTCCCTCAGCTCCATCAGCACCACTTTGCACCCCAGTAACCCCTGAATGTGGTTTACAAGGAAACACTGTGGTGCTGCTGGGCTGGGCTGATCCCAGAGGGCTTTTCCAGCCCCAAGGACTGCAGCACTCTGATTGTGGCTGGGGTGTTGAGCATCCCAAACCTCATCCTTCATCCCACATTTCAAGGGATCATCAAGTCCTGGCAAAGTCCAACTCTCAGTGGAGACAAATGGATTTTATCCTCCCTAAGACAGATGTTTTAAATGGGGATTTCTGAGGCACTTTGGATTTTCTTACTGCCCTCCTCATCCTCAACCACAGAGCTCTGCTGGATGTGCCCCCAGGGTCCTGCCAGGGATGTACCCACCCCTGGCACCAACCTGAGTCCTCCAGCACCATCCTGCCTCCCAAACCCCATTCCCAGCACCAGAACAGGCCTGAGGAGCCTGTTGGGAGTCTCCATCCCCAGCCCCCCTGGCTTTATAGGGCTGCTGGAGCCATAATTAACTTATGAAAAATGTGGTTTATTGTTTAGAAATGAATAACAAAATCCCCACCAGTGGGAGGGGGTGTGAGATGTCCTGGGTGAGGGTGGGCAGCCCTGGGCTGCCTCCTGTGGCACCCACTGTGGCCAGGCTGTGCCCAGGCTGCCAGGGCTTGGCTGAAAACCTTGGGCTTTTCCAGGCTGGGCTGGAACAGCAGGTTTGGTGCCTCCCCGAGGGGATCCAGGTGCCCCACAGGGGTATCCCCCCATCAGGATGTAGATTTTGCAGGGAGGGGGTTTGGCCCTAGAGTGTCCCTGGGAGGGTGCCAGCATCTCCTGGTGCTGGGTGAACAGGATCATTCCTGGCTTCATGTTTTGGTGTTTTCCTGCAGTGGGGGAGGCCACAGTGGGTGAAGGGGGGGACAGGACACACTGGCACTTGGGGGAACTTGGGGAGCCCCCCTGGTGACCCCCAGAGCAGATGAGGTGCCCCCTCATTACTGGCCTTGCAGGTACCATCACTAATATTCAGAACCCTGCAAAATGCAGAACAAACCCCCTCCCACTCCCCAAATTACCCATTTGTGCCCCAACACCCCAGCTGCAGTCCTGGGAGGGTTCTCACCTGCTGGGATTAAAACTCCTTCCTGAGACAGGGTGACCCCTGCCAGGGAAACAGCCTTAATTTGGGATGTTTTATTGTGCCAGGGCCTTATTTCCCTTCCAAGAGGGAGCAGAATGAGCTGTGATGCTCTGGGGGGGCTTTGGGGTGCCTTGGCCCTGCCCCCAGTAACCCCCAGTACCAGCAACTGTCCCAGCCCAGTCTTCCCAGTATGGGACTGGGAGAGGAAAAGCCCAATTTCTGCCATTGCTGGTTGTGCTGGGCAGGGGGTGAGCGGCCAAATTTCAGCTGGGGAGGGGAGAGTTGCCCCCAGAACTCTGCTGCCCTGGTGCTCCACAGTCCCTCCTCAGTCCCACCCACAGCTGGCAGTGCCCAGCTGGGGCAGGGGGCACACACGGTGGGGGTGGAATCTCCATCAAACCCCCGAAGGTGCTGGGAGGGCTCAGGAAATTTGGGGAGCCATTTCCAGGGTGCCGAGCTGCAGTGCCAGCCCTGCTGGAGCAGCCTGGGTTTGGGGGCTCCTCTTTTTCCTCCCCACAGCCCCCCTTGGGCCCCTCTCAGCGGGGGTGGGGGCAGCGACATCGTGCTGGATGCGGGAAGCTCGGGGTGTGCAGAGAGGGGTGAAGGTGGCCCCACCACGCTGCCCCCCTCCCTGGGCTGGGGGATGCCCTCCGGGGGGCTCCGTGTCCGTCCCGCGGGGGGATCAGGTGGCCCAGTTCAGGAGGCTCCCGGCGCCCTCTTTGCTCCTCATCCTCAGCGGCATCAGGGCGGGCGCCTTGTAGTCGTGCTGGGCGGGCGGCTCGAAGGGGTGGGGGGCCAGGCCCGGCGGGGGCAGCCCGTGCAGGGGGTAGAGGCTGTTGATGCCGGGGTGGGGGCCCGGGGAAGCGGGAATGCCCACGAAGCCATTGCTGGGAGCGGGGGGGTACGGGGACATGCAGGGGGACGGGATGGTCTCGGGGGGCAGCAGCCCCGGGGGGCTCCCAGGGCTCGGCCACAGGTTGTTCTGCAGCTGAAATAGCAACAACAACAATAAAAAAACCAAAATGAGGGTGGGGACATCACACCCCGCTCAGTTTCCTCGTATTCTGCCTTAGATCCCACTGCCCCCCTTCAGGATTCCTCTTATCCCACCTGTGATTCCTCCCACCCCTGTTGGATCCCCCCTCAAATCCCCCCCACCACGGGGTGCAAAGGGAGCGATGCCTTTGCTCTGTTTTCTGCCCTTGGGGGGGTTGAATCCTGGTTGAATTATTCCCCCCGGGAGAGTTTGGCTTCAGGGATGTGCGTGAAGAGTTTTAAATTATTTTTATGCTTTTCAATACTGGGGGAGGAAAGGCAGTTTTGCAGAAAAGGGGGGCAGGAAGCACGGAGAGAGCTAAAGGGGGTCTTCAGGAGGAACACCCCAAAACCTGCCCCAGAGGGCAATGGAGTGGGACGTAGAGCAGCATCTTCCTGCCTGTGCAAAATACGATCCTCCCTCTTTTCCATCCCGGGCCGCACTTCTCCCAGGGGTGGGGAAAACCGGGAAGAAGGGGCAGGAACGGGTGATGTGGGGGGGCAAGAATGGGTGATGTGGGGCTCCCCCAGGTGCGGTGGGACCCCTCCCCTGGGAATGGGAGCACACAGGGCTGGAGCAGCCCCCGAGCCATCTCTCACCTCCTGGATTTTCCCGTACCGTTCCCGTTTCCGCCACTTGGCCCGGCGGTTCTGGAACCAAACCTGGGGAAGGAGGAGGGGGCTGAGGTGCGGGGACCCTTCCCCCGCCCGCGGCAGCCTCCAGCCGAGCTCCGCGCTGCTCCCAGCAGCAGCAGGGCCGGGCACGGTGCCCCAGCGCTCCGGGGAGCCGGGGCCGAGCAAAGGACGCTGCTGGAGCACCCTGGCCTTTACCAACACCAGGAATATCTTGTCCCGCACCAAAAATGATCCGTCCTGCTCCCCCTTCCTTTCCCTGCTGCTTCTGGGACTCGTTGATCCCAGATTTTGCTGCAGAATGAGGCTTTTTGGGTGCAGGTGCCATGTCTGCATGTCCCCTCCGTGCTGGGGTGGGGACAACCCCAGCAGCACCTCCCAGAGAGGAGGATGCCCTACCGGGATACTTGGCTTGAGGCTCTCGTGGCTACGGGTGGTTTCATCTCAGTCCACCCCAAATCTGGGTTCGGAGGCTCTGGTGGGCTCCTGGGGACGCTTCCCCTGCCTGTGCCTTGTCCCCATTCCTGCTCCTGGGGATGGCAGCTCCTAGCGGGTGCTCCCTGCTCACTTCCCTACCCTCCACCTTAATTTCCTCTCTGCTGAGAACCCCCTGCAGCTGCCTCTTCCCACTTGGAGCCTCAAACCGCATGGGGACATCCCTGGAAGCAGCTCCCGGGGAGGGAGGGTCGGTCCCGTCCTGCCCCACGTCCCAGGACGTGCCACCCCAGCTGCACCCTCGCGGAGCTCCCGGGATTCCTCTGCCGAGCTGGGACCGGAGGAGCTGAGCTGGGGAGGGTGGCTGGGAATGATGGCTGCACGGGGGGCATCACAATCAGGGCATTCTGAGCGGGGGGGTTGACACTGACCTCCCAAATTTTGGCTCTTCCCACCCTTTGGGTGCTTGTTTGGGGGGGAGCGCAGAGGATTCAGAAGCAACCAACACCCGCACCACAGCAGAGGGTGTGTGGCCTGAGATTTTCCATCTGGGATTTAGCATTTTCATGAGAAAACAGCTTCTATCTCAGCACCACCTTGCAGGCAGGAGAATCTCCCCTCCTGGCAGCCCCCAGGGTGCCCATGCCAGTCCCTCTGTGCCCATACCTGCACCCTGGCCTCGGTCAGGTCCGTGCGCAGTGCCAGCTGCTCCCGGGCGTAGACGTCGGGATAATGCGTCTTCTGGAAAACCTTCTCCAGCTCCTCCAGCTGGAACGTGCTGAAGGTCGTCCTGTTCCTCCTCTTCTTGCTCTTGCTCTTGCCCAGGGGCTCGGGGAGCTCGGGGATCCCGTAGTCCCGGAGGCTGCCCAGGGGTGCAGCCAGTGGGCACCCCAAGTCCTCCGGGGCTTTCGGGGGGACTCTGCAGGTGGTGGGAATCGCCTGGAACCCACCTTTGCAGCCCTTCTCACCTGGGGGGGAGAGGCACAGCACCAGGGGGTGTTAACAGTGCCAAGGAAGCCCAGAACTGTCTGTGCCACAGCCCTGGCATCCCATCCCATCCCATCCCATCCCAGGGGATGTCGAGGTACTGCCCCAGGAGAAAGGGCTCAGCATGGACACACAGCAGGGCAAATCCATGCCTGAGAAGAGCAAAATCCATCCCTGAGAAGGGTGAAATCCATCCCTGAGAAGAGCAAAATCCATCCCTGAGAAGGGTGAAATCCATCCCTGAGAAGGGTGAAACCCAGGCTCGCTGCGGGAGCTGTGGGCAGGAAAAGCCTCTGAGGTGAGGAAAGCCTGGCTGGAGCAGCGGGTGCTCAGGGTCCCACTGGGATGCTGTGACTGCGTGGGGACGGGGCAGAGGAGGTGTGCACAGGGGTTTATTTGCAGACAGTTTTGCTCCACTCTCCTCATTCCTCACGCCTCTCCTCCCACTCCCCTCCTGCCCAGGCTGGTGCCTCAGCCTGGCTCAGAGCCCAGAGCAGAGCCACAGGGCCCAGCAGTGACCCCAAACCCAGCCTGGCTCTGGGCCATATGCTGCCCCCTGTGCCCCAGATAGTTCAGGGGGGCTCTGTGCCCCTGAGCCAGCCCTTCCCTGGAGCTGCAGCTCCCGGGAAAACTCTTGGAAAGGAGTAAAAAAATCCCGCTCTGCTTTTTCTGCTGAAGAAGAGCTCCCTTTCCTCACCCTCCTCTGGGATCCGAGCAAGAAATCTGGGGGGTCCCCACTTCCCTTCAGTGCTGCTGCATTGCTGGGTTCATGATGGAATTGGATCATGAGGAAAATCCCTGCCATGCGTTTTGGGGGCCACCTCTGTACCCCCAGGAGGATCCTTTGTCCCCACATGGGGACACCCGGAGCTTGGCAGCTCCAAAAGATTCTGGGTGCTGTTGGGACCCCGGTGGGCTGAGCAGGGAAAGGAGAAGTGTGCAGGGAATTAGCAGATGGAGAGGGATGCCTTGGGGTCCCCATCTGCTGAGGGGACACAGAAGTGTCACCTGGGGAGAGGACAACCTAAAAATGCTGGGTTTGCCCTGATCCCAGCCCAGTCACCAGCTGCAGTTTGGGGTTCCTGCAGGTGAGGACCTCAGAGGGGCAGGATCAGGCCCACGGCCAGGAGGGGAAATGCCTCCTTTGGGATGGATCCTGCTCCCCAGCACATCCCAACAGGGTGAGGAAATGGGGTCCCCATCCCTGCAGACCCCCCAGGGCTCCCCAAAGCAGCCCCCACCACGGCCTTTTCCGGCCTTTCCGTTTGGATTTTTGGTTGTTTTCTAATTAAGGCAATTTGGGGGCTATGGAGCCGCCAAGCCCCAATCCAGCTGCTTTGAATTAATAAGGAATTGTAATTTGGGGGAGGTTTGGGGGGGCGATTGCTCCTTGTCCCTTTCAGTACCGACCTGTCTGGTCATGGATAACGGCAAAGGAATGAGGCCAAATTGCCGTTTCCTCCCTGCTCTGGCCTCCAAAGGGCTCAGCCGCTGGGCTGGAGGGTTTTAATCATTCAAACCCAAATCTCACCAAAGAGCAGACCAAAATACAACCAAAATTAAGGAAAAAATGACCAAAATAAAATCCTGCTGCATAAAGCATCGAGTTTGGGATTTTTCTCCCCTTTTCTCAAAGGCAGCGCGGCGCATTTCCAAGTGACCCACGGGTTTTGGCGTTGGAGACAAATAAATAAATATCCAGAAAGAAGGAAAAGGCAGGAAGGAGCGGGATACAGGCACGTAGCTAAATAAACACAGCGGCACCGGGGGACAAAGGGAAGATACAGATATTTTTCTCCCACTCCTTCCTAAACTGACACCCCCCGAAAGATTTGGCGGCGCTGGGGAAGGCGGCAGCTGGGAAACAGCTGTACAATTCCTGGGATAATGGGGAGGGGAAGGAACTCCGAAGGATCATTAGTGAAGGGATGGGGGCATGGAAAGGACTCCCAGGAACCGGGGCAAACACCCGTGGATCGGCAGCATCCCCCGCCGCGGCTGGAGCAGGTAAGCGCCGCGGCGGGGTCCCTCCCGGTGCTCCCTGACTTTTCCCGGCAGTTCTCGGGGTTTTTTTCTACCTGTTCCCCGAGGCGGCTTTGCCGGGTCCCACCTGGCTCCCATCGCCCCCGCGGCTCTGCCTTTTGCTTTTTCTATTAAAGCAGAAATGGGGGAATAATATTAAAGCGAAAGTGAGAGCCCGGAGCAGCCCCCGACGGGCTGGGAGAGCGCAAAGGAACGGCGGGAGAAGCCCGGGAACGAGCTCGGTCCTGTCCGAGCCTGGAGACGGCCACGGAGCTCCGGGACAGCCGGGCCGAGGGGAACCGGGAGCGCTGGAGCTCCGGACATGGGTACCGGGCAGAGCCGGGGAACCGGGAGCGCCGGAGCCCGGTACCGGGGAAAGAGAGCGCTACTGCCCCGGAGCGAGGCACCGAGGGAACCGGGAGCGCTGGGGCTCCGGACCGGGCACCGGGGAGCGCTGCCAGCCCCGCAGTCCGGCCTCCCCCAGGTCCCGGAGCCCCGGCTGCTGCCGCCGCTCCTGCCCGGTGGGCTCCGGGAACCGGAGTCGGCGGCCGGACGCGACTTTCCAGCCTCCTCCGGGGAGCGCGGCCGTTCTCCATCCCCGGGAACGGGGACCCGCCGTTCCCCACCCCGGGCCGGACCCGCCGTCGCGGCAGCGGGGCCGGGTCTCTCCCGCCGCCTTTTCTCCCCCTTCCCCTCTTGTTTCTGGAGAACGGGAACCAGCCCGGACGCCCCGGTCTCTGTCGCGACACGATCCCAGCTGCCGACACTCGGCAGCACCGGCCCTTCCCGGCTCCGGCTCCCGTCGGGGGACGCCCTGGTTGTCCCCGACGGGGCCATATCGCGACATCGCCTCCTCGGAGAAGCCCTGGAGAGCGTGTCAGCGCAATGACGCTCTTGGGGGTCAGGGCTGGGGCTCCCGGCGGAACCCGAGAGGGAGGAAGAGAAGCAGAAGGGCTCGGGAGGGGTCGGCGGCCCCGGCCCCCCATTCCACCCGCCGCTCCCCTGGTACCTGCAGCCCCGGCCGGGTACAGGGGCCTCCCATGCACGGCCACGGCCGGGGGGCCCGGGCTGGCCACCCCCAGGTACCGCGGCTGTGCCCGGAGCGGTGGGCAGCGGCCGGGGCGGGGGCTGAGCGGCGGCGGCCGCCGGTGGGGCCCCGGTGGCCCGAGGGCGAAGGCGGTGGGAGGCCGGGGCAGCCCCGGGGGACCCCCGGCCCGGCGAGGCGGGGGGAAGGCCGGGCAGCCCGGTGTCTCCATGGCGCAGGTTGGAGGGGACGGGGATGGTCCGCGGGAGCGGATTTTGTGCGGGGCACCGGGAGGAGGGGGACGGGGGGGCGATGGGGAGGGAGGGATCGCCCGCAGCCCCCCCAGCCCGCACACCCCCAGCCGCCCCCCCAGCCCCCCAGCCAGTCACGTGCGTCCTCCCAGCCACTTGGTTAACCCTCTAATCCCAAATCCTGCCCCGCCGGGGACACTTCCCCGCCTGGGGCAGATCCCTCCAGCCCCAAGGCAGGGGCTGCTCCCCCTCCCTGCGCTCCCGGGGATCCCAGCAAACACCCAGGGCTCTTTGATTTCAAACCCCATCCCTCACTGCTGATAGCAGCAGGAAATACCAGGCAGGGGAGAAACTTCCATTGTCCTGTCGCTCCTGGGTTTATTTTCCCCTTCACAAGCTCTGCAGAGTCCTTTGGAGCCTTTCCTCCCCACAGCCAGGGCTGGGGCCTGGGTCAGGCTGCTTCAGGGATGATGGTGACCCTGGGAGAAGGGAGGCAGGGATGGTGGTGACCCCAGGATGTGGGAGCCAGGATCCCACAGTGTCCCTGGGGCAGGCCCTGCTGTGCCTGGTGGCTCCCAGCACCAAGGGGGTCCCACCCTGCTCCCCCTGTGTCCCTGCTGGTGCTTCCACACCCCGGATTTGGATCCCCTCATCCTGGCTTGAGTCTGGCTTTGGCATCAGGCACTGGTGTGGATCAGAGCTTGGACTTCTTTATCCCCCCCTTTTCCTGCATTTTGCTCCTTTCCTCGCCAGGGCTGGAGGTTTGTCTTGGCTGGGGGAGGATACAGCTTGGGGGGTGTTTGTGTGCAAAATGAGGGGGAAGATCTGGAATTCAAAGACTTGGAGAAGGAACTAAATAAGGGGCCTGAAGAACTAAGTGGAAATCGGAGGGGTGAAGTTTTACGCTTTTATTTGTTGTTTTTCAACACTTTGAGTTCATTCTTGGGCATCACTCCGTGCTCCAGGTGTATGAAAAAATAACCTGCAGGTGTGGGGGTTGTGGGGAGGGGATGAGCTGCATGTGAGCAGCAAAAAGAGGTGGAGAGGAGCCCAGGGGATCCCAGATGTGTGATGTTAGACAGCGGAACAAGGGGATAACACCCACCATAAATAACATTATTGCTCCCATTGGTGGTGCCGGGGCAAGACTTTGTCACCCAGGCACAGTGAAAATCTGGAATCACAAGAAAATCTCATTTCAAAGACTTTGTGATATAAATGTCACCTCTGTGTCTGGGCAGAGGTTGGGGTTGATGTGTTCTTGGGTCATTGGAAAGCTGGTGTTGCTGCAGGAGTGGTGGATTTGTGGTGTAAATCACAGCTGCATTTTCCAGCCCTGCTCAGGGAAACTGCATTTGTGAGAAATGCTGCGTTGTGTTCTCGGACTCAAAATTACTCCTTCAGAATCCTGTGAGGGGCTGGCTCTGCACAGAGGGGTCTGAGCATGCAGTACCCCCTCTTTAAACATTATTTTCGCCCGATTCAAACCAGTATCTAAACAACATTTTTTTATTTGCCACTGCTGGATAAAATTCCAAGTTTTTATAAATTAACGTAGTGGCCTTTCGAGGAGCTGCAGGAATAAATCAGTTTAAACCCCTTGGGCTGCTTTAAAACAGGATCTGGCTCCCTCCTTGCAGGATGGGCACCCTTTCATTGCCCACGATGCTCCCTGGGCATCCCAAGCCTTCCCTGACACTTTCCCTTTGCAGCAG